CCTCAAGAATGTCAACAACAGCCGCTCGGTCTGCTGCGACCTCAAGAGCGTCAACAGGAGCAACGGTGGCCTCAAACCGGTCGACGACACTGCAGCCAGGTGCGCCGACCTCAAGAACGGCTAGGACGACAGCCCCTCCCTTGTCCGCGACAACAAGTCGTAGTCGTGACACTCCCACACGTCCACCAGTTTCCAGCATGCGTTGATGATCTCCATCCATGTACGTCGTTCATCCTCGATGAAGTTAAGTACGCTGTGACCAGTTTAGTTATGTTACGGTAAGTTAATAAATTTGTAGACTTGATTGGTTCGAGCCCGTGAGATGTAAGCCAAAAGTGTGCTAATTGCTAAATAGATGGTCTACGGACCTGAATGTAATTTATGTTACTTGTGTTGTTCTTTGTGTTGTCATGACACCGATGAATTGAATGGAAGTTTTTCTCGCAAAAATAGTGTGCCAGTTAACGTTGCAGATATTTACGTTTTTCCTGGTGTCATTGATTCAAGTTGTTGGGTGATTAATTAACACCTTGCTGAACTACCTATGTCTTGTGTGTGTTCATTTCAGTTTTTTTTTTGACTTCATTCCAGTTTCTTCTTGATATTCTTTAGCATTACCCCCAATGAGAAATAAGCGGAACGGCTCAAGGTAGTGCGCTAGTAATTGAGCAGCGGGAAGACTCTAGGGAGAGGTTGAGCGGTCTTCTTATGTAGTGGTATTAACATAGTACTTAACTTGCTCCAGTATTAGTTGTTAACGCTATGCAGTGGTACTAGGAGGAGCAAAGTAAATAAGGAAGAGAAGGTCGACGAAGCTAGGCAGCTTGTGCGCGATGTGAAGGCCGGCCCACTCCTATTCATTTTTGAAACTTGACATGATCCCTGCCTACCGGCCAGCTGATCAAATGTAATTTGACTAATGTTTGACGGCTGTAGTGGCGCTGCATGCCTTGTGCTTATCGACTGAATCAACACTAGGTATATATAGATAGATTATAGTACGATCAGTTGTTAGTTGGTATGGCTACTTCGTAGTAGGTAGTTAGTATGCTTTCAAGAATCCCTACATAATTGAGCAGTGGTAGTTAGGGGTTCAGACCAATGGATTTTTCAAAAGCATCTTAATCTTTAAAATGTATTCGCTCCGTTCCTAAGTATTTGTTTTTCTAGAGATTTCAGCAAGTGACTAGAATCTACACTCTAAAAGCTGTTTATATACATCTGCATGTGGTAGTCCATTTGAAATCTCTAAAAAGACAAATATTTAGGAACGGAGGGAGTACGATGAACATCTATACGACTAATGTGTAATGCAATGCATTTGCTCTGAATGAAATGTGTGATTCGTTGTCTTAATATGTTCAAATTGTGGTGAATAGTAATTAAAAAACTAGTTATAACATAAAAAGGACAAAAGAATCCATCATGGGAAGAGATAAGGGCACTGAGCGGTGCCGTAGTGTGTCCCGTTAGTGGTAGATATACCTCTGATGGGCACCGACCACGGAATATTGTACCGTGTTTCTCGCTGTTGTGCGTGATGTTGGTGGACCATGGCTGTGCGGCTTCGAGGGCTGGGTGCTGCGGTGGCGGCGGGTGTGAGGCTATAAGGACACTGATGCTCCAATCCTTGGAGGTGTGGAGATGTGCAGCAACTCGGACAAAAGTCTTGCCCGGGGTTTGCCTGGCCGGCGGCGAGGGCACCCGCGGGTGTCTTGTCCCCTCTTGGAGGTGTCGCCGAGGCGTGCAGCCATCACCCTCCCTCGCTTGGCATTGGTAGTTGTCTCCGGGCGAAAGCCTTGATTTGTATGATCACCACGATGGCGGCGTCCTTGACATCGTTCCTCTGTTGGGAGCATCGTGCCTGGAGGGTTTGAAGGTCCTTCATTGTCCTCCTCCGGTGTTCACCGCTGTCCATGTTCGATCAACCATGGCGCAATGTACAACCGTCACTAGTGATTTCATGACGGTGGCTTTTCAGGTCTGATCGATTCTCGCCATTCACTTGCCACCTCCTTTAGGCATAAAGGGCGGATGGTGTGTCGACATGGGAAGCTCGATGAGATTTGTTGTTTCTTCGGTGTTGATCTACGTTTGTCGAGACGCGGCAAGGTTTTTTTGGTTTTAGGCAGGCGCTTCTGCGCTGTAGTTGCTTTGTCGTGGGTGGAGTAGAGTTCTTGTTACGCTCGTTGTTCTCAGCAAGTTGCAGTTGCCTTGTATTTGCAATTCTCTCTTCTATAAAGCTATGGTACACAATTTGCATATGGTCGAAGAAAAAGAGCAACTCGAATTCTTTAAAGGTACATTAAAACACATGTATGAATTAGATTGAACAGAAAGAAATCTACAATGACAAGGATTAGTCAAAATGGTGGCATGTGTCTTGTACAGATACATTGTTCCACTCTAAATTTAAGATAAATAAACTGCACTTGACATACTTTGGCACCTGGTACCACTCTCTTGTCTCCCACACGTCAGTATGGGTCCCACCATTTTGAGGGGAGAATGTTGAAATATTTTTGGCCCACCATCGAAACTTTCGAATTTGGGCGAACACCCAAAAACCAATAGTCAACAAACCATAATAACTGAAGAAATCTATTGAAAAGAATGGAGAAAATTTCTCCCTCACGAGGTCTGAACCTCGGTAAATAACTCTCTTGTCTCCCATTTCTCAACTAAGCACCTAACTAATATACAAAGTTACAAACATATATCCAAGATTGGTCGCACATGATAACAATCGGTTTAGTTAATCTAAACTCAAGTTCTACCAAAATATCTCATGCAGCGGCAACATCGTGTGTACTTACTACATCAATAATGAATGACATACAGTACATGCATATATATGACTAACAACTAACAAGCCGTGTGGTCTGTATGGCGTGTGCTCCCAACACATATTCTGATGTAGTAGTAATATAAGGAGCAGGAGGAGAAGAAATGAAGACCAACGCGGCAGCAACCACAACCATTGACCCAACCGCATATCTACTCCCCCTAAAAATATAATACACATCTACTCCCCCAAAAAAACAAAAGAGACTGCCGGGCACTGGCAACATTAACGCCACCAAACCATTCTCCCACACGGTGGAAGTGCGTCGTCCGGCCGGAGCGCTTTCTCAAAGACCTTCCCCCTCCAATATATATGGAGCCATTGCCGCAGGCTACCTCAACCCAAACGGAGCAAAGGAAACACTATATCCACCTCACCTCAGCTACCTCACCGGAGAACAAGAATTATTAGAAGGGAAGCAGATCTTGTCATGGCCGAGCAAGCTACAAAGGTTCCCCCAAAGAATGTGAAGACACCGTCAAGCAATACACAGTTGACGAAGACAGCGTCCTCTAGGAGGAAGACGCTCCTGCCTCAGAAGAAACAGATGAAACAGACGACGCCGTCTAAGAAGAATTAGCCTCGAAAAAGGTGACAGCAGCCGCGCGGTGATCGACGTCCTCTGGCCAGGATGAAGTTATGCTCCTGTAGAATCTGCAGCTAGTTTGTATGTAGGCAAGAAGCGTGATGGTTCACGTTGCAGCCAAGTGAAGTCCTTTTTTTTCCTTGTTTTGTCGGAAAGTTGAATAAAAGTAAAGAGTCAGAAAAGAGATACATATAGGGTTAATACATCGCAAAACATTATTTCTTTGGTCAATTGAGCGTAGCACAGTTTGTTATGGTCCTTGTGGTGGAAGCTATCCAACCGGGTTCAAGTCTTTGACTTGAGAAGGGTGTTTGCACTTCTCCAGATATATTTCAGGGTATAACGACTTATTCTTTGGGTGTAAGCGACGAGCCCATCGGCAGCGATGGTGTGACTTCGTCAATCTCATGACCCGTTGATTCAATTTCTCAGAGAAGCTCACAAGGGATAGAATGTGTGTGTGTGTGTGCATTCATAGGGGAGTGCACATTCATGTATGTGAACGTTAACTGATTAAAGAAAAACCTTTAAGTTTCTTGTTTAAGCACCATCGGTTATCGCTATAAGAAGGGTGCCTAATTAAGTATCTACCCTCTACAAATAAGCATTGATGCATGAAGAAAAGTTGGTTTATTTCTCTAAGAACCTCCCCTAAGCACCTTGCATTCAACAAGTCCTAAGATAGGCAAATCGAGTATCTTGTCCTACTCATCATCACACAAGTCGTTAGGCGGGGTCACCGAGTCTCAACATAGGCTTTCGCCCAGCTTTATATATAAAGGCAAACCATCACGTTTGTACACCAAGTTCAAAGGTAAAACATAAAAATAAAGGGTCTGCTAGGGCAACTTCACAACTATGCCCGAAAAGAAAAGAAAGATGGAGTACAAAGCTCCACAGAGCCGACGTAGCACCATCAAAGAAGCTACGCGAGAAGACACCCAGCTGCAATCAGTGCCCTGCTCATGGCGTCAAGAGACTCCTTATCCCGCTGCCTCGAGTGCGAGGCCAACCAGTTGCTGTACTAAACACCCAAATCGTACATACCTTATTTATATGTCACGTATACATGATCGACCATACACGATTAGAATCTGTTTAGATAAACCAAGCTCAAGAACTAGTTGAACATCTTATACAAGATACAACAGCAAAAGCACATATGCGTACATCATCGATCTATATAACTCATGACATAGATATGCATACGCATATGACTACACGTATGTACCTAAAACTTAATAAGTAACGCTAGCTAATTCATTTGTTTAACGCTAGCGAATTCTGATGTGGTAGTGATAGTAGTATAATGAGGGGGAGAAGAAAAGAAGACCATAGCGCCAATGACCACGAGCATTAACCCAACCACATTAATCCGTCAATAACAATCCTTCTAAAAACAAATCAAGAGACTGACTGGCTCGGGCAATGTCACCAAACTATTATTTACCATGGGAGAAGCATGTTGTCCGGCCTATATGAATGCTGCCGTGGCCGCAACTTCCCTCAACCCAACCGGAGCAAAGAAAACACCGCTCGACCAAAAGAAGAAGAGAAGCAGATCGCGTCATGGGAAAGCAAGGTACAAAGTATCTCCCTCAGAAGGCGAAGGATAAGGTGAAGAAGGCACCGTCTGCTTCGTCTAAGAAGAAGAAGGTGGTGACCAAGACGAAACCCACGACCTCAAAGAAGAAGCAGACGCTGCTGCCTAAGAAGAAGCCCAAAAACAAGTGAACCAGCCACCCATCGAGCTGCTCGGAGATCCCCATGAATAAGTTAAGTGTGTTTATGCCAAGTAGGTTAGATCAGGTTGCAATAAGTCAATTTGTATACTCTATTATTAAGTGAGGTGTGTTTGTGTCAAGTAGGTTAGTTTAGGTTGCAATAAGTCAATTTGTAAACTCGTTTCGATCTAGCCCGTGAAGTCCACATAGCTAGTTTTCATGTAGGCTAGAAGCGTGCTGATTCACGTTAAGTAAAGTTTTTCTCTTGTATTGTCAAGACGTGTGGCAGGTTGTGCGGTGACGATTAGATGTTCCCTGTGTCCATCCAGTTTCTTTTCTATAATTTACGGTTAGAGAGTCTGCATTATTTGTGATCACCGTGGCGATTGTGATGGTGGTTCGGTGACTGGAAGAGTCATGTGACCAGCCGAGGGCATGTGGAGGTTTGTCTCCGTCGGATCTTGCGGGATTCGGTCGGTGCTGGTCTTCGGTGGATCTATTTGGATCCGGTTTTCGTTCGTCTTTGTTTAGGTATTGACAGGTTTGATCCTTCTGATCTACGATTTTCTTCATCGGCGATGGTTGCTACTCTGGTGTGCTGGTCTTACGGGGCTTTAGCATGACGACTTCCTGGCTGTCTACGATAACAAGGTTTGCCCGGCTCCGGTGAGGAAGAGGCGATGACGGCGGCGCGCCTTCAGCTCGCTCCAGTGCTTGTAGTCGTCGCTAGGTGGTTCAAGAAAATGGCTGTAATTTTAATTACCTTGTTGTTTTTTGTACTGCCATGACTGAAGATGAATAGATTGGAAATTTCTCGAAAAAAAATGTGGTCAGCTAAGTTCGAGTGCCAAATCAGAAGCTAGACTACGTAGTGGTTGTTGCGGAAAAAAAAGACTATGTAGTGGCAAGACTCCGGTGAATATAATACCTACATCGTCTTACCGATCGATAGAAGCTGGCACATGTTTCACATACTCAACTTACTCCAATACTTGTGGCCATCGCAATGCAATGGTACCTCGAGGACCAAATTAATTAGGATAGGAAGAGCCGAGGAAGGCAACATTCTTTCTTGAATCTTGACATGGTCTAAGTCTACCTGCCTAATCAACTATAATTTGACTAATATATAGTTGATGAGTCATGGCATGCCCTATGCTCTGGCCAAAATCACTATTCTGACCTTATCAAAAAACCATAGCACAAAATAAACTCGAAGCAAAATTATTTCACAATCTGAGTCTTTTAGCAACGTCATAGCCCGTGGTGTTTCTTCCCCACATAGAAACGCCGAGCCGGCTAGTGTTGCTTCTCTGACCCCACTCGCTAATGTGGCAGGCTGAAAACGCCAAACTAGTTTGCGTTTCTGAAAACGCCAGGGGCTTTGGCGTTTCCGCCCCGTCCAACAACGCCATGAGCTTTGGCGTTTCCATGGTGCGTCGTCTGCCATCTCCGTGCCCGCGTCGCCTGCCTGCAGCTTCAGAGCAGCACGCCATGCATGCATGCACCATGATGGCTTGCTTTTGAACTGTTTCCGATTAATTAACCACATAGCAGCACCATGCGTGCATACACCATGCATGTGGTGTGCTTAGCACTATGCGTAGGGAGACATGGCCATGCATTTGCACGGCGCGCGCACATGCATCTGGCTGCCTGATGATTATAAAACCTAAGAAATTCCTTCGGGATCGACTGGACGTCTCACTATATATCCACACCAACAGTGAAGCTAGTGGCACCGAGTAGTACCAAGGGCAGCAACGCCATGGCCCTCGGCATTTACAGCCTGGCCAGAAACGCCAACGCTCTTGACGTTTCCGGAAACGCAATCTGGCTCGACGTTTCCAACCTGCCACGTCAGCGAGTGGGGCCAGGGCAGCAATGCGAGCTTGCTCGGCGTTTCTGTGTGGAGATGAAACAATTTTGCTCCGAGTTCATTTTGTGCTATGATGTTCTGACAAGGTCCAAACAATGATTTTGTCCATATGCTCTTCGACCGAGCCATTGTTAACCTGGTTAACAAAGGGACAAGATGGATCGCCACTTGTACTACTGCATGCATGCAGTATAGGTACACTTACTGCAAAGGAAATTGTTGGAGTTGTGTCGAATATAGTGTACAAGGTAGGTTACAGTTGGACTTGTAGTTGTATCGTGTTTACATAGGATGTGGAGTCGTGTCCTAGTAGGACACTTGTATCATAGGCCTCTCATATATAGCGGGGGTAGACGCACGATGTAACCTGTGCCAACATAATAGCACCGGAACGCAGGGGAAGCCGGCGGCATGTGCCGGTGTCCAGGGCGACCGGATGCGGTATTGTAGCGGTGTCATGGGGAGGAGCGCCCATAGTCAGGCCCCGGGGATGTAGTCATATCGGTGAACCTCGTTAACAAATCTCGGTGTCGTGCTTGTGTGATTGCTTGGTCCTCGGATGATCGATGGAGTGCCTCGAATTTATTCTAACAAGTGGTATCATGAGCTAGGTTGTTCGGAGGTCGTAGATTGTCGATTTTGAGGCAGGTTTGATGTTTGATCGGTATCGTGGTGAGCACGGTTGACATCGATGGGAAGACGTCAGGCGATGAGCAATCACGGCGAGTAGCAGAAATCGGATGTGCATGCAAGCAGTCAAGACGTGCAGCGATCGTTCAATGGATCGATCGGGCGAGCGTACAAGCGGCCTGTTTTTTGGGCGGAAATACCCGACAAGATCGGATCGAGCAGGTGACGTGTCCTGGTGTTTCAGATTGACTCGGTCTCGGCGAGATCAATGTGTGATCGAAGGAACGGGACACAAGTCGGTGCAGTCTCCGAGGTGCGCATCAAGTGGCGGACGAAGCCCACTGGTGCGAGGCTGTTGGAGGCGGCCCAGGAGAGGCAGGCCAGGCAGCCGATGGCCCAGGTGGCGTTGCTGTTGTGCGATGCATGCATATGGCGCAGGAGTGCGTGGCTGTGTTGTGATCCGGAAAGGTGGAGAATCCACGAGATTTGTTTAAAAAAACTACCAACACCACGTGTGTGCACGGAAGCAGTTTGGTTGGATCAAGTTTGACCTTAATCTGCTATGGTGCACGGAGAAGCTGCAGCAGCAAATAGAGACAAGAAAAGTTATGCGGGTTGCATGGAAGTTTTTCTGGGTCGGTTTGCTAAGAGGGCTTGGAACACGTGGACAGGCTATGAAGGCGCGCTGGCAAGCGTGTCATACGGGATCATGCATACACATGGCGTCCAAGACATGCGCGGATGTGCGAGTAGTCATGGTGCAGGGTGGAGCATGGTTACAGTCGAGCGAGATCGGCTGGGTCGGACTTGTCAGTCTGACGGATCGACGCGAGTCGGTTGGTACAGAAGACGGTGGTGGAATCGGCGACGACGACATAGGAGCGTGATGCCGATGGTGATCGACTTCTGGGCGTGGAAACACGTGACGCAGGCCCCGAGGGCTTGTGTGGCTTCGACAAGACTATGGCGCGGGGTTGATTCAAGATAGCGTACGCATGTGAGCTTGAAGTCGACGGGGCGAGGGTAGACTGATCATCTACCATGGAGTCATGTTGAAGGTGGAGCTGGAGTCTGACAAAGACTTCACTCGGTGCTGATTGAGGGGCTGCGGCGTAAGTCGACAGAGAGTCGAAGCCTATTCAGCAGGTGAAAAAAGCGAGTGACACGTAGTTTGGACTGGAGCCCAGTGGTCTGATGGAAGCGTGAAACTCGTCACCGGTCGGTGATGATCGGTGGTACTCTGCAGTGGGGGTTGAGTGGTGTGGTTTCACGACCCTTGAGACTCGACCAGGACAGCGGAGGCTCGACGCGGTAATAGCAGCGAGGCGTGCAGTACGCACGAGGCATGGAGACGGACCAGGGCTCTGGTGGTCATACATGTGGTGAGACAATTGTGAATTTGACTCGGGATGACTACAAGCAATGGTGAAATTCCTTCAAGTTTCAGACAGGCGGTCAAGAAAGGAGTGGTGATGTTGAGTTTAGGTAACTCTTATGTGTGACACCCATTATGTGAGTTGTTCATTTTCACGCAGGTTAGTGATCGGTGTGTGATGTTGTTGGATGGATCCTCTGGAAGTTGGGAGCACAAGCTAGAGTAACAAGAAACTTAATTTTGCTCGAGTTTTGACTGTGGTCAAGAAAAGAAGGGACTACAAGTTGCAGGTGGAGTCACATGGAGTCTTTGGAGTAGCAGCGGTGCTCATGGGATAAGCTCAAGTCCAATGTACATGAAAGTTTGACGCATGAACAAATTCAGGATGGTGGAGAATATTCGCCAAGGTGGAGTTTGTTGGAGTTGTGTCGAATATAGTGTACAAGGTAGGTTACAGTTGGACTTGTAGTTGTATCGTGTATACATAGGATGTGGAGTCGTGTCCTAGTAGGACACTTGTATCCTAGGCCTCTCATATATAGCGGGGGTAGACACACGATGTAACCTATGCCAACATAATAGCACCGGAACGCAGGGAAAGCCAGCGGCATGTGCCGGTGTCCAGGGCGACCGAGCGCGGTATTGTAGCGGTGTCATGGGGAGGAGCGCCCATAGTCAGGCCCCGGGGATGTAGCCATATCGGTGAACCTCGTTAACAAATTTCGGTGTCGAGCTTGTGTGATTTCTTGGTCCTCGGATGATCGATAGAGTGCCTCGGATTTATTCTAACAGAAACCATGATTGACCGTCACTAACAGACCAAATTTCAACAATCATGCCTTGTGCACAATCCCCGACCGAGTCAGCACACTGATGGATCGCCACGTGTACCACATCATGTATGTTGTTTATAATTTTGTATGTAATTATACAATTTATCCTTACTCTATTATAGTTGTCTATTTCCTAATCTCCACCTAACGCTAATTCTGATGTATAAGAAAGGAGGACCAACGAGGCGACGACCACGACCATTGACCAACCGCATCCATCCATCCGTCCGTCAATCAATAACTAATGCATACATTGAATATGCATATCTACTTCCAACGAAACAAAAGCGACTGACCGGTCGAACATGCCAACAACCCATTATGCTCCTATATATATATTGCATTCAATGCAGGCTTCCTCAACCCAACAGGAGCAAAGCAAAGCAAACACCACATCCACCTCACTCAGCTTAGCTCACCTCATTTCGTAGAAGAAAAGAAAGAAGATCTAAATCGCATCATGTTGCCAGGAAGGTTTCTTGGTCAGAAGAAGGCAAGGTCACCGGCGGGTCCGTACACAACCCCAAGAACACCAACGCCCGGGGCTACCTCAAGACCGTCAACAACAGTCCCTCCGCTGGTTGCCTCATCAACGTTACCAAGGGTGACTACACCTGGGGCCTCAAGATCCTCAGCAAGGGTGGCTTCTTCCACCACATCAATAACATCAGCAATGGCAGTTCCACCCACGGGCTCAAGAATATCAGCAACGTCGGCTCAACCCGCTAATTCAAGACCCGCTAACTCAAGACCGCCAACAACAGCAAATCCCCATGTGACCTCAAGAACTTCAAGGACGGCAAATCCGTATGCGACCTCAAGAACTTCAACAACTCCAAATCCGCATGCAAGCTCAAGATCGTCAACAACGACAAATCCGCCCGCAACCTCAAGAACATCAACAACGGAAAATCCATACGCGGCCTCAAGAATGTCAGCATCATCAGCAGTGGTGGTTCCTTCTACGACCTCAAGAATGTCAACAAGAGCCACTCCATCCACGACCTCTAGAACCTCAACTAGAGCAACGGTGGCCTCAAACCAGTCGACGACACCGCAACATGGTGCGCCGACCTCAAGAACGGCTAGGACGGCGGCCCCACCCTTGTCCGCAACGACAAGTCGTAGTCATGCCGCTCCCACACGTCCAACTGCTTCAAGCACATGCCGATGATCTCCATCCACGTACGTCGTCAATCTTCAATGAAGTTAAGTGCATTGAGACCAGATTAGTTATGTTACAGTAAATTAATAAATTTGTAAACTCGATTGGGTCGAGTCCGTGACTTGTAGGCCAGTAGTGTGCCAATCGATGAAGAGGGTCTACGGGCTTGGATGTAATTTATGTAATTTGTGTGGTTCTTTGTACTGTAGTGACATTGATGAATAAATTGGAAGTTTTTCCAGCAATAAAAGAAAAGTGTACCAGATCATGTTGCGGCTATTTTTGTTTTTCCTGGTGTTATCGAGTCATGTTGTTGGGTGACTAAATAAAAGAAATGAGTCAAAAAGAATGTACACATGATTAATTACACGTCAACAACCAACAAAGGAACTCCTCCCCAAAAAAACTAGGGTTCCTCTGCCTCCCGTTGGTGCCGTCGCCGGTCCGCCTCATCTCTGCTGGCCTTAGGTCCATGGCGGCGTGGTGGATCTCGCCCCTTGCACGCGGGAGGGCTCTGCTTTCATATGTTCTTTCGAATTTTGTTAGGATTTATGTCCTGCTCATGAAGACGAAACGATGGCGATTCCTTGAAGATAAAATAAGATTCTCCTTGCCTATCCCCTGTCCTGATGGTGCATCTAGTATCATCGGTGGGCATGTGGAGGTGTGTCTCTGGTAGATATGTCATTGGTAGATTTGCTCGGATCTGGTCGTAGTTCGTCTACGTTCATGTGTCTTCAGGTTGGATCCTTGTAATCTCCACTACTCTTCAACGGCGGCGGTTGCTGTTGTGGTGTGCTGGTCCTATGGGGCCTTAGCACGATGACTTCCCGACTGTGTACTACAACAAGTTTTATCTGGCTTAGGCGAGGGAGGGATGATGACGGCGGCGCGCATTCGGCTCGCTTCAGTGCTTGAAGTCGTCGTTAGATGGTTTACGAATCTGGATGTAATTTCTATTATTTCTGATGTTTGTTGTACTGCCATGAACAAAAATTAACATGTCGCTGAACTACCTTTGTCCTGTGTTTCACCCAGTTTGTTGCGATATTCGTTTGCATCGATCTAAGGATAGGTATTTCTTCATTGAATCTAAGCTAATGTTTTTTTCCTTTGAAATGTGAAGGATTGGACCGTATCCTACATAGAAATAGGAATCCATTCCTACGAACAAAAGTGCTCCGTAGGAATTTTTTCTTTGAAAATTCTATCCTATGAAGTTCCTACAAAATTTCTACAAATCAAAGGAGACCTTATATTTAGGAACAAAGGAAGTAGTTTATATTTAGAAACGGACGCGATGCAGTGGTAGCAGGAAGAGCAAATTAAATAAGGAAGGCAGCTTGTGCGTGCGATGTGAAGGCCGGCAGACTCCTTTTCATTTTTTAACTTGACATGATCTCTGCCTACTGGTCACCTGATTAAATATAATTTGACTAATGTTTGACGAATTTAGTGGCGCAGCACGCCTTTTGCTTTCAGACTGAATCAACACTAGGTATATATAGATAGATTATAGTACGGTCAGTACTTCGTTGGTATGGCTACTTCGTAGTAGGTAATTATATGCTTTTAAGAATCCCTGCATAATTGAGCCGTGGCAGTTAGGATTTCAGGAGGAATTTTTCGATGTCAAAACCATATCTTTTAAATGTTTGATGAACATCTATACGACTAATGTGTAATGCAATGCATTTTTCTGAATAAAATGTATGAATTTTTGACTTAAGAGGTTGAAATTGTTGTGAAATACTAAGAGAAAAACTAGTTACACCAGAACGAATGACAAAAGAATCCATCACTAGAAGAGATAAGGGCACTGGGCGGTGCCGTAATGTGTCCCCTTAGTGGTAGCTATACCTCTGATGGACACCGACCGCGGAATATTGTATAAGCTACTAACTTTATTGTCGAAACCATGTATGCGTGCCACTAAATCTAAATGAACTAACCGGAAACTTCTATTGATTATATTATTAAAGTAATAAAAAAATCTTTCATATTAGATCGACATTGTTGGCGCCGCCTCTCACAGCGCCGCACTTCTTCTACCTCGAGCTGCCTCCCACAACTCTCCTTGGGTTCCTCTCTCCTTTTCTTCTATGGTTTCTCTCAAGAACACACACACACGCATGTATACCAAGGAGGAAAAACAACTAGCTTTGCCGAGAGGTACTCTTCCTTGGCAACCACAGGTGCTACATCTTTTCTCTGGAGCCCTCTCAGCCTCCTTTTTTCATTGACTGAAAGCAGTGCATATATACAGGGCTCAGGCACCTTGTGCCACCAACTCACACCACTACATCCACTCCCTAAAATCACTCCACGAGATGGATGACTCGGCCAACTACTCACTTATCCTAAGCCATGCACTAACAGATTCACCCATGAAGCTAGGTAACCACTTGATGCATGCAGCAACAAACTCAACATCCTCTATGTCCAATGAGTGGTGCAGCCGCTTCTCACGGCCCTCCGGCATCTCTCATGTACGCTGCGTGTCACGGCACTACATCTCTCCGTGCATCCTCTGCAGCTATGCAAACCACTCGCCGTCTTTGTACGTCTCACACGTACATCTTGCCGGCACTGACTACACTTAGCTACATGCAATACGAAAACTAACTATGCAGATACATGAATCAAGATTAAGTCTAACAGACATAAGCAACAGGAATAGAGCAGCTCTTATTCTTTGAAGATATGTTAAGTTTTTCTCTAATATGCATAAGCATGCGTATCATCGCATTAGAGAAGAAGCGACAAAGAAGCCGGGTACAACGCCTTTCGGCCATTACAACGCCAATCACGAGGATTAGCAGCCACACACACCCCACGCGAACTACGAAACATGCATCACCTAGATCAAGACCAAGCCGATGGCCATGAGGCAAATCACATAGCTACCAAGCCGCATCACAACCAACGCCGAAGACCTCTACAACATGACCGAGACCCGAGGGCAGCACAAACCAACGTACCCCCATCCATTTGTGCCAAGAAGAAGTCGGCGGGTGGAAGGCAGGGCCCGGGCAGACCTAGAGAAGGCGGCGTCGAGAGATCACCAGCGTTGATGTACATTGCGCCTTGAGGATCACGCCCAGAGCAGTTGCTGACACCGACTCGAGCCACACCAACGGGACTCCTCGAGCAACAAGACGATGCCTCCAAGAAGGGAATGCCGCCATGACGCCGCCATCGCCTGGTCCGAAGGTCGGACAAAGGGTTTCCCCCAAGCATGAGGAAGAGAGTCGGGCCGGGGTCAAGACAACACCTCCAAGGAGGGGACGGCACCCGCGGGCGTCGCCGTTGTCAGCCTGGGACAATGTGAAGCAGGGATTTCTCCCAACCCCAGACCACGAATCCATATGTCCACTGGAGTTTCTCGAACGGGTCGACCACCGCAACGGGAGGAGAGTGTGCATCTTGTAGCACGGCATCCACCGCCACCACACGGACCAAATCAAGAACAAGGTACCACAGCCCTACCCGGATCGATCCAGCTGCCACCACCGCACCACCTCCACCGCGCCCACAGGACACCACCACATCCACCGCGACCTCTGGCTTGCCTCACTTACGCCGGCGAAGTAAGCCACCGGTGTCCGAGCCAGCACCGGCCGCAGCAAACGGATCTGGGGAGGGAGAACCCTAGATCCACCGCCACTGGTGTCCACGGCTGGCGTAGCCATAGTGGCGCAACCCCGCCGAGATCCCCTGGGGCCACCGCCCCAGCATCCGCGCGCACCAGATCCGTCGTCGTCTCGAGCAGGAGAAGCCACATGACAAGACGCCGCTGACGGAGCCCAGCCTCAGCGGCAGCCACCGCGCGCCACCACATCACCTCGCCTGGCCGGTTCAAGCCGGCCCACCACAGCCGCCACGAAGCCGCCGAGATGCCCTCCCGCCAGATCTGAGCGCTCGCCTCTCAAGGAGATGCCCCGCCGCCACCCTCCCTGGATCCTGCGCGTGCTCCTCAGGCGGCGGCAAGGTGCCGGCGCTGGTGGAG